CTCATTTTTGAATTCCACTTCTCTTTATTTATCTATTATATATTTATCAGGTGATTAATGTTAAATATGCAGCTTATTCCTCCTTAGAGAAAAGCAATATTGATTTTATTCACAGGATAATTTAATTTCCATCAGTATTTTTACTTCAATAGGCTAACTTTTCCTGAGAAATAGAAAGAAATACTACTTAAAGGAAATGAAGTTTTGCTAATGATGAACCGGGGAGTAGCACACATTAATTCATGGCAAAATTAACTGAAGTATCATAATTACTATGGATCAGACTTTAAATTCATGCCAGAATTTAGAAGAAGCTATGGTAATTAATATATTAAAACTAAATGTCTTTTAAAAATTGTAAATTTTTTTATGGCTGAGTGGGAAAATGCTTCAGTTCATCTTAAAATGTAAGAAATATATTGGAGAGAAATAATGGCTTAAGCTCCAGCTTGTTATAAAGAAACTTGAAAATTTTAAATTTCTAACCTTTTACAGTAACTATTTCATTTAGAAGATGACTTTTTACATAGATTCTTGTAGATATTTAATTCACAGGCTGTTACAAGGACAGGAGGGCACAACACAGATGGGATAATGGACAATGTTAAATGCTGGCATTGATGCAGTTTTCCCTCACATGAGACATTGCACCATGGTCAGTGCAGCCTAATAAATTTTGACCATCTGGTGGTATTAGAATGGAGTTCCCTGCCATAGAAGAGGAGGCACATGGTGTGGAGATTTCATTTGCCTGACCACAGCTCTGGAATTAAAATCCTTCCTAAGTAATTAATTTTTACAGGTGAAATCCACATAGTTTTGCTATGTTACATGTAGATTTGGGGGTATTTTCATTCCCTTTTGTAGCACAAAAAGGATTCCTTTTACCCCAGTGGGTCTTATTCTGGAAGGAATATTCCGTCCTGATCCAATCTCTCTTTATGTTTTAAATGCCCAGGTTGGAATTTCTATAATTTTTTAATAAGAATCATAGAATCTTGATAGAAAATTATAAACAATACTGAACTTAATACTGAGCATTATAAACATGCTGCCAGGTAACTCATCATGCTGTCTCAATCTGTGGAGCTGTAGAGTTTTGAAAAAGGCAAGACTCAAGGGAAATCTCACTTAGAAAAGTTACATAATTTTTAAAAAAGGAAAAAACCTATTAAAAAACAAAAACCTTCCAAAAATCTGATTTTTATTTTTATATCCCAAAGATCGGGTGCCTGTAGATTAAAATGTGATTTCTTCATATGTCATTTGCCAGGAAGTTTGACACAAATGCCCAGATTCACATCTCTTTATGTCTTACATAAGCACTTACCAGCAATTGCTCTCAGTAAAATCTATTAGGTATGTCTTTTAATACTCGACAGTTAAATTCTCAGTTGATTCAGGGATTAGAAGTGTTTGTTCAACTAATAATTGAGGTTAAAATCTGTCATTTAAAGAAAAAAAATTCCTCCCCTCCCCAGTTTATTCCAGTCCTTAAATATAATTCACTCCTAGGTGTGATACTTCTGAAGTTTTACTTGAAAGCATGATTACAAAGAGTGTTTAGACTAGCAAGACTGGGCTTTGGAAACTGCTGCAAAGGTTTAATGACTGAAACAATTTAACCCAAATTTAGCTCCTGGCTGTGATTCAGATCATAGCTGCAGGACAGTGTTTGGAGAGGCAAAGGAGACTCATGACCTGTGAACATCAATATTAAAGGCTGCTTGTCAAATCAGGCAGTGTCTCGAGGAAGAGGGGTTTGCCTCTATTCAGGAGCTGTTATATAAGGAAAAGCCATTGATAGGCTTTTGTTTATCTCTTGCCAAAAATCCCCAACTTTTTTTTTTACCAAAAAATTATGAAGAAGAGAGTTGGGGAAGAGTGACCTTCCAAAGCAGAGACAGTTTCTAGGAGATCTAGAGGTTAAGGTCTTCCTCCTCCTCACAGTGGTTTCTACCAAACACTTTTCCACCACCCTGTTGGTATCAGGGAATATCAGTACACAGCTTTCAAAAGTTTAACTGGCCTATTTATATATCTAATTCACCTTTCAACTTCACTCTGCAAATATATAGATAAATAGAAAAGAAATAACAGCTTGCCCCAACACCCATGCCTACGATCTCTACCACGTTAGCCCTGTCTGAGGTCAGGTGGGGTAAGCTGGGAGTCCTCTTCCCTTCCCTCCTCTTCCCACCTTTTTAAAGGTGGCTTCACATCCTACACTCCACAGGTATTTCCAGAATGACCCTGAACCTGGTGGGTGAAAATTTGTCATTCCACAACAACAGTAGTATGAAAGAGAGGATCTGAGAGAAGCCAGATTTGAAACTGCAATTTCCGGTCTTTCCTCTCTCAGTTTTTTTAATTTGGTGCCCTTTCCCTTATATACCTCTAGAGGAAGAAAATACGGGTCTGGTTGCATCCAATATTATCTCAGTTGCTTAATTATGTCATTTATTGTATATTACACAGCTTACTGGAATTAAAATGACCACCAGTACCTTTCAAGTAGATTGGGTTCTCCAGGTGAGCTGCTGTACTGAATGAATTGTTTTATAATAGCCATGGAACTTAAACCGTGGAAGAAAAAGTAAGGCCTATTTTGAGCAGTGAAACGAGAGATAGCAGTGGCCTTTTGTGACTCATAATAAAAAGATTTATGACTTCAGGAATCAGCTGAAAGCTGTAGCTCAGTCCCAGAGGGGTAAGTTTTCCCATTGCTTCATATCCTCACACCAAGCTATCTTTAATCTCTTGGTGTAGCTGACCAAAGACTAAACTGTGGAATCCTGTTGTTCCAGGATGAAATTAAGCTTAATGATACCTCGACCTGTGATCTCTCGGATGAAAGAAAATTAGGTTACTTCTTATTTTTTTGTTTTTTTTTTCCTTGAAAATTGACAAAAAATGCCCTCTTTAAGTTGTGTGAATTATTTCCTTTCTTCATACAGTCAATATTGAATGAAAGAAATAATTTGACCAACTGGTTTTCAACAGCTCATTGGAAGTAAATGAAAATGTGGATTGATCCTGACCTAAATAGAGAAAGAGCAGCATTCAATTTTTTACATAGCTTTTTTGATTTGTTTTTTTTTTTTTAATGCAGAATTGAATAAATATTAAAATGTACTTTTATACATTAAACATAGAATTTTACATGTAACTGTTTTATTCTCAACTTTTAAACTATATTTTACAGCTTTGTTTTTCTATTCACGGTCTGAAAGAGAATCAGAGAAAATATAATTTTCAAACTGGCAATGCAGGCCTACTTACAGCTTTTCATTGGGAGATTATAAAAGTCTATCAAAGCATGAGCTCTGCATTCTTTTACAAATATTTTATTTTTCTCCCTTCCTGTAAGCAAAATATGTAAAATAAAATTTTAAAAATGCTCATCAAAATGAAATGTATGTTAATGAGTCATAACTGTCAAACAAGCAGTTCTTTCCTTTTGATGATTGAAATAATTGACTTTGCTAAAATGAACATTCACACATAAGTGGTGATTGCTACAGGATGTTCATTTCAATTATGTCCCTAAAGCAGGACACCAAGAGATAAAGTGACCTGGGTTTAATAGGTTTTCATCCCTCCCTCTGCTCATCATAAGCACAAGATGTCAAAGAACTGGGGAACTGTCTAATGCATGTTTTTTAATTTAAAGATTGTGTTTGGGAGTTTTGAGTAGCTCCTTTCTTGAAGGCCAGAGCTCCAGTGAGCTTAGACCAAAACTAAAACCTGTGCCAATGCTTGCTGCAGATCTATCGAATATGTGACTTTTATAGGGTTTGATTCCTTTCTCAGAGCCAGGTTTCACCTGTGATGATGTTTATTTGCTATTTATAGGAGGCAGGGAGAAGCATGGCTTTGTGCTAGCAGTCATTTCCTGAGGCCAGCACTTAGCCCAGGCATCCTCCAGAGCTCAGGGCTGTTTGGGTTGGGCTCTTGGAACCCAGCAGAATTAGCTGAGCTGAGCAGGTCAAAGGGTAGAAACTGAGCAAGGACGTTCTGCTCTTGGGCCACTGATGACTGGATTTGTTCACCTATTAAAAAAAAGCTGCCCTTTGGAGAGCAGGGCAGGAAAATCACCCAGTGCAGTGTAAAAATCCTATAGCTCTGGGGAGTGAATGGCCCTTTTACAGCCAGGGGAGCTAAAATAAAACCTGCAGCAGGAAACTGCACCTTACAGCAGCAAGGAACAGGAGAGCTCAGGGCACTGTCCCACAGAAGCCTTAGTCCCGTCCAACTGGGACACAGATCTCCCCTCCAAATAAATTACTTTCCCTTTGGATCAGTGAGTCATATTCCAGAAACAGAGGGAATGACTAAATCTAATGTGAGGAAAGAGTAAGGAACACATCACTGGAGTTAAGAGGGGAAAGGAGACAGAATTAAACCATCACTTTTGGCAGCAATGCACAGTTGGATGAAATTAGGCACAACATGAAACTGTGCCTCCAGAGAGCTTGGGTGAATTGAGATCTTTTAGAAAAAAAA